AGATTAACATAATAATAACATAGTGAGACAGGCAGAACAGTAATCCCCAAAGCACTGCCTAGGATTTTAACATAACAAAACAGGAAAAGCCTAGGACAGAAAGCCACAACCAAAGCCAAAAACTGACTGGCGCTCAATTACTCCAAAATGACATGGAGACAGCAAAATACCTAACCATCTTCAACAAGAAAACAAGGAAAACAAAACACAACAGTGGAAGAAGTCCTAAACCTAACAATACTCATAAGAGAAACAGACGTTGACTTACAACAAAAAGAAATCTTCAGAATGATGCTTGGAGTAATACAGATGAGGGAAGCAATACACAATAAGGAAACAATGATAAAGGAGATGAAGTCCATAATAGACAGGCTGATCCATGCACCAAAGGGAAGTACAAGCAAAACAAGATACTGGACCTCAACAATAGATGAGAAGAGGAGAATCATACCAGCAATCCCAAGGGGAATCAGGCAGACTTCAACAAACAGGACAGTCAAACAAGATAATCAAAAGGTGGAAGAAAACCTGAGACCAATGACAGATGTTATGCAAAGGAACAATATTCAAATGATTGGTGTACCAAAATAAGACACAACGAAGAAGTCAACAGCTAAATTAGCAAGGGAATTTCTGGAAGCAAAGTTCCCCACCTGATGAATGAGAATGAGTCTAATGAATGAGAATCAGACACTCATATTGGAATCAGAGAGAACACCAATTAGACTAAACCACAGGAAGAACTTACCAAGGCACATAATAGTTCAATTATCCAACTTCAAGGAAAAAGAGAAAAGTTAAGAGCAGCAAAAGAAAAAAAGGCAGTCACGGACAATGGTGCTCAGGTAAGAATATGCTCATACCCATCAGCAGATACCATGAAGAGGAGGAGAGAATGGAATAACATCTTCCAAAAGCTGAAAGAAAAAAAATGCCACCTGAGAATCCTCTACACTGCCAAACTATCTATTAAGAGAGATGGTGAGGTTAAGTGTTTTAACTGACAAGGTAAGACTCAATGAATACACCCTGAGACACCCAACCTGTGGAAAATCCTTGTTGACTCACTGTGGTCAGACGACCAACATCCACCAAGCACAAGCAAGAGACCGCCATGTAGCACAACTCCATCCAGAAGTCAAAGCATTGAAAACAAGTACCAAGATAACCTTGTCTCAGAGGGAAAAGAAGGCAAGAATGATGCCCCACCCCATAAACACAGCACACTGATATGCAGGGTGATAGGAAAACACCCAACACAAAAAGTACAACAGGTACGAGATGACAGCAATAAATCCAAAGATGGTGGTAATAACTCTGAATGTCAACGGTCTGAACTCACCCATTAAAGGACCAAGGCTAGCAGACTGGCTTAGAAAATGTAACCCATCAAGCTGTTGCAGACAAGATATTAAGCAAACAAACAAATATAGACTAAGAATAAAAGAGTGGCGGAAAATATACAAGGCAAATGGCAACTTAAAAAAGCAAGGACTAACTGATTACAAGGACCTACATATAACCTCCTTCCTGAAGGA